CGAGGGCCAGCCGGCCCCGGGGCAGCCGCGGCTCCGGGTTGATCACCAAGACCCCGTCCTCCCGCTGCCCGCCCATCTTGGACCCTTCGCCTCTGCTTTGGGCTCCCCTGCGACACAGAGCTTGAAATTCAACAGCACGGTCTTCGGAGAGGGGACAGAGAAAGGAGTCACCCCGCTCCGGGCTTCTCTTGACTCTCAGGAGTGATGAGCATCACAGTTCAAGCGCTCATCACGTTAAAACCAACCTGGTTTTCTGCTGGAACCTATTTTAAGGCAGCCGTGACAAACCCGCTGTCCCATTTCCCAATCGGATGTGGTTGTGCTTATGCAACTGCCATCCCCCGTTTCCCAATCGGATACCGTTAACACAGAGGCAGCCAGTTCCTCTCCCTTTGTCACCGGTTCCCATCGGTAACCCCAAAAGCACCATCTGAGGTGCTCAGGACCACCACGTCCCACCAGACCGTTCCCCAGGTGAGGCTGGAGCGGCGTCAACTCACCAACGTTCATGCCCAGGTTCACACGGAGGTCCACGTCCTCCGCCCACGCGTCGTGGGCTGGTTCTTTGCACAGGACGGGGAAGATGCCCCGGTAGAGGTGGGCCTGGCGTGCCGTCTGGTCATTACGGGTCACAGCGATGATGGGAGCCCGTGGGCGGTACCGGGACACCAGGTGTGCTGACCTAGAAGGAACCAGACACGAGGTGAAGCACCACGTCGCAGGCACAGCCGCCTGAGAGTGAGCTCGAGGAAGCTCCTGTACAGCCAGAGGGGCACCTCCACTCACAGCACAAGCAGCAGCGAGGTTTGCCTGTCGCCCTGGAGGGCTCCACAAAACCCCTGGAGGGATGACCACAGGAGATGCTGGCGAGAGCCAAGCTCGCCAACGAGCTTGATGCTCTGCTGAATTCCCAGTTAGGCAACTGGGCGGACCACCACCAAAGGCTGCCCCTTGGCAACAGTCCCTACTCCAGTCTTGCGGTGAAAATCACCTCGCCTCCGAGTTTAGGAAGTGCCATCTGCGTGTTTTGGTCCCCGAAAACAAGCCTTTATTTGTCTCCGTTGCTATGTTAAGGTGGCGAGGTGCCATTTATTCTGGCCTCTGCAAGCAGTCCTTGGCATCTCAATGGGGGTCCCTGCAAGTTCCTTCTGTTTTGAGGAGCTCCCGGTTTATGGGATGGAAAGAGCCCACGCCAGCAGCGCTACCCAAAGCTTGCCAAGGAGGAAGCCATTTGCCTCCCAGCCACGTTCACCTGCTGAAGCCAGCAAAGAGGCCGGTTCCTCCGTGCAGAGCTCTGCTCTTGCGCCCAACGGGAAGCAAATGCAACCGAGGCCAAAATTTATACCAGGAAGTTGGGCACAGAATCCTTAAAATGCCTTAACATAGCAAGCAGCACACACCGGGTGGGGACCACGGCTTCCCCTTCCCCGGGCACGGCTTACAGAGTGCATCTGCAAGTAAATGGAGATTAAAACTGCAAGGCCACGACATTTACAGCTCCATGAGCATGCCAGTATCTCCACTAGCTTTTGCAGCCTTGTTTAGTGGAGCCAAGCTCAGCAATACTCAAAGATTGCTGCTTCAAGTAGGCAGTAGCAGTCTGCTCGAAGCACCCAAACACACGTGCCAGCTCTCAGACAATCCTTCCCACGCTGTCCAAGAAGCCTCCCGGTAGCTCTAGGAGACCCAGGTACTCAAAGGCTGTAACAGAATCCACAGCTAAAAATATTCAAATATCAGAGTTCAAATCTCTTTAAAAAGGTCAAGTGTAAGACTGGAACCTTTTACAAAGAAACATTAGAAGCACGAGGGTATCCAGAAACTCAGTGCTTACAGTCACTCCTCATCTCTGCAGAAAGTGGCTGCTTCAAATCATTTTAAGCTGTACATTTGGGTGAAGGATTCACCGATGGTCCAGTTCTTCAGGTAGACCATGCCCAGCGCATATAATCACATCTCTGCTGCTGCACTATTTCTCTGGTCCGAATCCAGTGCAAGAAATTCAGATTCTCTTCCAGAAAGCAGTCTGAGACTTACGGTTCGACGTGCTTTGAGGGTGGGCAGCCTAGTTCCTCTAGATGAAAAAGCTGATCAGCAACGCTTCAGCTTCCTCTCCGCAACTAGAAGAGTGAGTCTCTACTCGGTGGTTGTCACCGTCGCTGGACAGAAATCCCAAACTATATAGTTCCAGCGCGTCTGCATTGCTGTCTCTCACCTGCAGCCAAGGCACTGAGCTCGCCTGAGAGCGCAGGCGGCACTTGGCTGCTGGGTCCCTGCCAGATGTCTGCCTGTTCAGTGAGATTACTCGCAGGCAGGCATAAGGAAGCCTGTAAGAGGAAATTTCCAACGCTTTCAGTTTCCCTGCCTAACACTTCTAGGCTAAGCAGTCCCTCTTCGCCCCTCGGGCTTAGCCAAGCAGGGCTGATGCCTGAAAGGTTCAGCGAGGGACCTATAGTTTGGAGCTGCTGGGTCCCTGCCAGATGTCTGCCTGTTCAGTGAGATTACTCGCAGGCAGGCATAAGGAAGCCTGTAAGAGGAAATTTCCAACGCTTTCAGTTTCCCTGCCTAACACTTCTAGGCTAAGCAGTCCCTCTTCGCCCCTCGGGCTTAGCCAAGCAGGGCTGATGCCTGAAAGGTTCAGCGAGGGACCTATAGTTTGGATGCTACTACGAAAGGCCAAGGCCTCGATTAAAAAAAAAAAAAAAAAAAGAAATAGATCCACTGAACTGAGCTCGCCTGAGAGCGCAGGCGGCACTTGGCTGCTGCTGCCAGATGAGATGTCTGCCTGTTCAGTGAGCTTAC